CACCAGTTCCAGGCATTGGCAGAGAGCTCAACAAGCCCATCACTTTCCCTGATGGACGTTCCTTACCCAAAGGTATGAAGGTCACCACACTCACACAGCAACACTCTGCAGGAACACATGGGACGTCAGTGGTCCACATGTCATGTGGCAGTTCTCAATCACTCTGGTCATCTTTCATCCATAAATGGACACTTACTCTCTGGTTTGGATGAGGAGAGAAAATGCCTGACACAGAGCCAGAGCACTGCCAAAGTGTCATAAAGGTTACTTCCCCTTCCTATCTATGGAGAATATATTCTATTTCGGTTCATTCTCCCAAATAACCTGTAAGGTGCATCTCAATTCTAAGATCTCAAAAGAACAGAATCCTAAGTTTCCAAACTTATCCAACAAAAACATTCTATTACCATGAGATCCCATTGTTTTGTGACGCTACAGCATTCCCACTGAAGGCACTGACATTCTCTGATTTAAAACTGCATACTCCAGTTCCTGACTCCAAGTCTAAACTCATGGACCAATTCTGTCTTCACTGTCGTATCTATTTGAATATGCTGAAGATTTGACATAACATTTGGATAACCCCTTTGTGACAAATGCAAACAGCTATATACATATCAGTTAAAATAAAAACGACTCAATACATTGCATCTTCTCTAAAAGGAGGTGTTGACTTCAGCAAGGGGCTTCAAAATTAGCATAAACTTCTAATATCCAGAGATTTGATGGCTGGAGAGAAAATCCCTCTGGGCCACACAGAGCTGTTTTTCATTCCCTGTGGGGTCGAGTCATTGAAGCAGATCAGGGAATCCACTGTCATTATTTTGACAGTCCAGTCAGTGGGGGGCCCTCAGATTGGTGGCAGAGACTACCTGATGACCAGATCTGAGAATCCAGCCATGGTTGGAGGCCACCGTTGGCTCACCTCTGATCTGAACTCCAGGCCTGCCACATCCTAGCTGTGTGGATATAGGCAAGGAGCTTAGCCTCTCTGAGGCTCTAGGTGCCTGATATGGACAATGGGGACATGAGTGCCTTCACTGGAGGGTTGTTGTGAGGATTGAATGAGTTCATGCATATTACCCAAGGGCCTATGGATGCTACTTGATAGATGTGAATTGAGTTGTCACTTGAGTTGCCCCAAAGAGTAAGTAAGCCTCCAGTTCTTTCCTGCTTCTCAGCCTGAGCAGGGTTATCTAGTATTTTCTGCCTGTATGCTTTGCCTTGTCTGCCCCACCTCTCTTGCAACACGATCATTCCACTCAGTGTTGATGAGACATGGCTCTTATTGTGGTTAGCAAACTGTTTGTGTGTGCACATGGCCCCTCGTGGCATGGGTATGATCAGTCTTCTCTCCTCTGTCCCACAGGATTCCCAGTGTTGCTCTCCATTTATGCCCTTCACCACAACCCGAATGTGTGGCCAAACCCAGAGGTATGATGGCCTTGGGAGGAGGGGCTGGGATGAGCTCTCCAGACCAA